AACAGCTCAATATTCAATAGTCACAAGCTTCACAGAGAACAATCACAAGATCAGCAAAACACGTGTTCAAGTTCATCAATAATAAAATGTGCAATGCCATGAGATGCAATGTCAAATATAGTGATGCATGTCTTTCTTAATGATACACACCCGCTGTTTCTCAGTCCGTAACCCATGGGGGACATATCTGTCCATGCATCTGTCACGGCGCACGACACGACCCTAGATAATAGTAACCTTCACGGCGCGCGATACGTCCCTCGAAATATAATATCATCGCGGCGCACGATACGACCCTTGAAATAGTACATCCTCTTATCACTTAACTCTTATCACAATCATATTTCAGATACAATGCAATTGACATGCTCAAATGAGAAATGAGGAGATAACCATTTTGATAACAATCACAATTTACAACAAGGAATACAACACTAACAAATAAGCAACAAGTCTCCAAGTCACTCTCAATACCACACAAGAAAATACAAGATATTTCATACGCTTAACAAGGGTTTAGAAATCCACTTGCCTTAGCCAATCGAATAATTACTCTTGGACTTGAGCCTTCCCTTTCCGTTGAGCTTCTGAACCAATGGAATCTATCAAGTATATATTCACAATAAGGTTTCAGAACTAACAACACTCGCACTTTTATGTGTTTAACCTTGACCTAAAAATACACCCCAATTTATAATCAAGTTTGTATTCTTGATGTTAATTAATATGCCAAGTTTCCTATTCTCAAATTTCAAGCCTAGAGTTAAGTTCCCAATTCTCCAATTAATACAATCTGAATAGTTTTCATATTTTATAACATACAAATATTAAATTACATATTCTCAAATATACCAAAATTTAAATCATACATCCATGCCAAACACAAGCTCTAATATGAATGTTTAAACTTAATGGCTAAACCTCAAATTCTCAACCATGCCATACGGTAATTTCAATACTGTGATCACACATTAATTGCTAATTCTCACTTTACTTCGCTTTCAATTTATTTATCGTTTGCAACTAATTGAATGAAAAGAGAGTTGAAAATCATTCCTAATTATAACTTCCACTAATGAACATCTAATCCATTTAATTTCTTAGTTTCTATGACGAAAACTCAACAAAATATTACATTTTTTTAAAATCAATTATATGTTTCAACATTAAAACTATATTAAGGAATTTGCAATGTTAATCCGTAAGTAAATTTGCTTAGGGAACCCAATATCATCCTATAATCCATATTGTTCAATCATTTTCTCATTCAATACCATATCATAGATCATTATTATAATTAATTTCCTACCCCCAATTCTTGTCCCCGCTAACCATTTCATATTAAGTATATTGCTGCACTTCAATTCCTCATTATATTATAATAATATAAAATTCTCTAGTGCTCATTAATTGACATAGAAAACTTTAACAACCCATACTAAGAAAGTACCGTACCTGAAGTTCTAATGAATTAACGATGCTCTTTGTAGTGAGTTTGCCGCCTCAAGCTTAAGCAGTTTGTAAGCCGCGAGTGCAGAGAAACCCTTCGCCTTTTTTTTTAAAAAAAATTAATTATGTACTAAAAGTGATAGGTTTTACCCACATATTTTATTAAATATAGTCTAAATGGTATAGGATCTTAAATAAATTATCACTTTAGCCCATAAACTATCGATTAATTAACTTAAGTTAAATAAATATTCAAAATGCTAAAGAGGAGCTTTTGGGTCATTACAATTTATCACTACTACAATATATTCATTATAATCCTACAATATTTTATATATGTAATTTCCTTTTTAATTATATAAAATATTTTTTAAACATAAATATTCATATAGTTTTATTTAACATATTTTATCTCCAAAATAATATTTATTTTATCTTCATTCCATGTAAGTGTCCCTTTTAACTGTATATAATGTTTTTTTTAAAAATAAGTATTCGTATAATTTTATTAATCTATTTTATCTCCAACATAATATTTATTTTATCTTTGACTTAAGTAACAAAACAAAAATAACACAATTCAAAAAAGATTAAAAAGAGAGAGTATAGAGTTGATAATGTAAGAATAGTAAATAATGACTGCATAATTATAGTTTAAGAAAATACATAACCAACTAATGGGATAAATTTTGAAATAGTATAAATATATGGGATCAAAAATTAACTTGTCATAGAATTATATATCATATACTTAGAAAACTTCCACAATATCTACGGATTGAACTTCATATAATATTGAATTGCACTTTTTAGTCTTGATTTCTACTTTTACAATTTTGAATTATGATAAATTAGTGTCATTCGTCGAGAGTAAGAAGCATATTAAATATTAGACTATGAATGCTTTACAATTTATAAATAAATATTTTCTCAATACTTGAATTTCAGAATTAAGTTACTTTAATTACCTTATTATATTAAAATTTTGGTTATTATCGACTAGATATTAATAAAAAACTATAAAACATAATTGTGAAAAAGGTTTAGCATTTTCATTTTAAATTTTGTTAAACAACAAAATGGTTAAAAAGAACATTAACTAAAATTTGTACTCACTCTATTTCTATTTATGTAATGTTTACTTGACTTAAAATGATTTTTTTTTAAAAATACTTTTAAAATTCGTGGTCTAAAACAAACCATAGATATTCATATGACTATAAATCTTCTTACTAAGAATAAAATGTATATTTTAAATTCAAAATGTTACTAAATTTATTAATACATCATTTTTTAAAAATTGACTATAGAGAAAAATATGTCATATAAAATGACATAAATTTTCATAGGTTTAAGAGTTACTTACATTATATTCTATTCTTTTTCAAATTACAAAAAAATTCTTAGAATTTAAAAAATTTGGATTTATCAGCAATCATGTGGATACATCGGCCATGATACATTGCTATTTAGAAAACTTGTAGACACATAATTCACGGATGAATTCGAGAACAGAGAGCTGTATTTGAGAGGGAATATAGATGTACTCGAGAGGAGAGAGATGTATCCAAGAGATGATAGAGATGTATTCAAGAGGAGATGAAGATGTATTGGAGAGAGGATATATATGTATTCGAGAGAATATAGTGATGTATCTGACATAGAAGAGAGATGTATCTGATAGGGGATTTTTATAATTTTTTCAAATGCTAGAAAATTTTAAAAATTATAATAAAATAATATGTGAATTTAGTTAAAATACAGAAAATTAAAATTGTAACGATAATTGATTATATAGGGCCCGTGAACGGGCCTTCAATTATCTAGTTTATTATATAAAAGAGAACCCTAAATCCGTCTACATGGCGCAACCACAAGCAAAAATTTCCTTTTAAATTTATTTATTTCCAAAACTAGCCTTCCTTCTTCATAAAGAAATGTGACTTTTATGAAAAATTGTGAATTTAATGAATAGTTGTGACTTTTATCAGAAGTTGTGACTTTAATGAAGGGTTGCGACTTTTACAAAAGGTTGTGATTTTTCCAAAGGGTTGCAACTTTTCAAAATAGTTGTCACATTTCTGATAAGACACAATAAACATTTGTTCACACTACCCTTTGTTGTTTATAAATAGAGGGATTTCCTCTCATCTGATCTTCTTCTTCTACTTCAGCAAAATTAAATATTCGTGTGCCTTGCTCCCATTGAGTGATTTACTAACACCGCTAATTCTGTATCAATAATTTAGTGAATAAAATCGTTCCATTCTGAAAATATATAATTCTTTAAACCTTTGGTATTGGAGTGGAATAATTTTCTTAAGTGGACTTGTGCATTCAGTAGACTCAATTTTTCCTTTCTATTTCATTCTATTTTTACATACACTGGTATGATTTTTTTTACACTCATTAATTTATGCATATGATATTAACTGTTATTTTTGAGTACATGTTTTATACTTTGTTGTTTTTGTTTATGCAAAGTTATTGTCTACAGTTATATTGAATATATATATATATATATATATATATATATATATATATATATATATATATATATATATATATATATATATATAGTTTGTATAAAAATAATTATTGTACTTAATCCAAGAATTCATGTTTTGTTATTCTATATTTAATTCTATAAATTAAAAGTACTATATTTAAACTTACATACTATCTAGTTTTTTTAACATAGAAATGAAATTTCTCACTTATCAATTGAAGAAATTCATCATACAAGTTGAAAAATTATAATTGCTTTCATGTTCAAGCATAATTTCTATTCTGAATATGTTAAAAAAGTTTAAATTTTCTCTTAAGGCATATATAACAATTGTATAATCTATGCAACAGAAATGATTCTTTTTATTATGAAATGCCTTTGTATAGATATTCTTTTTCTTCTTTATTTTCCTTTTAATGTTGATCAAAGAATCAATAATTTATTATTTCGTGAACAATTCATTCATTACATGTTCTTGGGTTATTCGATAATAAAAAATAATTAAATTCATGTTGGAATATTACTAATATTCCTTTAAAAATCTATTTTTCCATTATTTTAGAAGTATGGATATTAATAAGAAATTATTTGCAAGTTCAATGCAAATGACAGCGCGAAGCGCAAGTAAATTACCTAATTTAAATATAATAAAAAATCTGAAGAAAGATAAATTTAAAATCTATTCCACAAATAAAATTACTACATAGACAAAATTCACAACAAATATTATTTTTGGTAAATATGTATATCTGATAGTAAATAAGTTTTTGTTTCTACTTTTTTTTTTAATGAAATAGAAATAGAAATATTTAGTTTCTTCCAGACAATTGAAAAACTCCTTCATCTTCAATTTGCAAGCAGCTTTACTACTTAGTCAAATACCTTATTTTTTATTTTTCAAAATAAGTGATTTTGAAAAAGAAATAAGTAAACAACGGTAAGTCGATATTTACGTTCAATTTACAGTTCATACTTCCCTATCGATATTTTAGGCATACAAAATGTTAGATTTTTGATATTTAATTAAATAACAAATGTATAATTATTTTCTTCTCTGATCCCTTGTATCTTTCATAATCAAGCTTTCATTAAACGTGCATGGCTACAAATATCTCTATGCTGTCTTTTACTCAATTATTTGACGATTTCCATTTTTGGAAAAGCTGATTATCTTCCATAATTTTATCAAAAAATGCATGGTACGTACATCCATTAAAATTTCTTTGATTCATGAAATTAAAATCGTTAAATCAGCTTTTTACAATTGGGGATTATCGTGGAATAAGCTTACAACTTAATTAAAATCTTGTCTGATCTTACAATGTATTTATTTATATTATTATGAGAATAAATCTCTAGATCAAAACTTCATATATTCGCGTAAGTGCATTGTATGAGTGAAACATCCAATGTTAGGATATTATGGATAGAATGATTGTGATTGATGCATAAATGAGAGGGCTTAAATGGCTTTTTGGGAAATAATTATTTTTATTAACCTAGAAAAGGCTTAATTGGCTTAGATTATTTTAGGAAATAACTGTTGTTTCAATTTGGTAAAGGTAGTCCGTCGGTAACTCTATCCATCAAAATTTTGCTAGTTTGGACATAGATAATTTTCACTTTTTCCCAGAATTTTATTCTGAAAATTGTTTGGACATACTGAAAATTTATGTTTTCCAGGAAAAAACAAGGTAAAGAGTGAGATATTTGATCAACTTTCTGGTAAGCAAGGAGCTGTGAAGTCCAATTAATACAGGAAGCTGATGCCAAGCACACAAGAAAACTATTAAGTTACAAATTTGGTGAGTGATTGTTTTTAATCATATTTAGTTTGAGGAACATACCATTGTATGTTGCATAAAGTAACTACTTTCCTTGTTAGTCCCTTTTTTTTTAAAAAAAATGACTCACAAGATTAAAGAGTATTTCAGTACATATCTTGAATATAAGACCACAAAGTTCAATAGTTATCTCTAGACTTGGGTGCCAAGACAAATTGAAATAGAGGGAGTGTATATGTACCTACCTTTTAATCCTTATTACCTTTTAATCCATATAAGGAAAGAAACATTATATTCTATGATCACAAAAAGTCAGCTAGGATTGTGACACTGTTTGTTCAATTTTCAGACAAGTAAATATGGTTGAGACACAAGGGGGTGGTGGTGGTGGAGGTCTACAATTTGTGTTACATGTGCTTCGAGGACGATGGTTCTCACTTTTTGCCTCATTCCTTATTATGTCCGGAGCAGGGGCTACTTACCTTTTCGGGATATACTCCCAGGAAATAAAAAACACTCTTGGATATGATCAGACAACACTTGTTCTGTTGGGTTTCTTCAAGGATTTAGGAGCTAATGTTGGAGTTCTCTCTGGTCTATTAGCCGAGGTAAGTCCAACATGGTTCGTTCTACTAGTTGGTGCAGCTATGAACTTTACAGGCTACTTTATGATATGGCTATCTGTTATTGGCAAGATTTCAAAGCCAAAAGTTTGGCAAATGTGCATATACATATGCCTTGGAGCAAATTCTCAGAATTTTGCAAATACAGGAGCTCTTGTAACCTCTGTTAGGAACTTCCCGGAGAGTAGAGGTAACATGATAGGTCTTTTAAAAGGATTTACAGGGCTAAGTGGAGCTATATTGACACAACTATATTTGGCTGTCTATGGAAATGATGCTCAGTCTCTTATCCTCCTTATAGCCTGGATGCCTGCTGCATTATCAGTCGTTTTTGTTTATACCATTCGAGAAATGAAAGTCGTTAGGCAACCAAATCAGCAAACTGTTTTTTTCCACTGCTTGTTAATATCAATTGTCCTCGCATTGTTTCTTATGGTCATGACACTTCTCGAGAAAGCAATAGCGTTTTCTCATGCAGCATATGTTGTAGCCGCCACTGTCTCCTGTGCTTTACTTTTCTCCCCTCTTTTAGTTTTCATTAGAGAGGAGTTAGCTATCTGGCGTCAAATGAAACAGACGTCATCACTTAATCATAATGGAGGAGTTGCAAACACAATTGTGGAACCAACCGAAATCCAACAGCCACAAAAAAATCAAGTCAACAACTCTAAGATATCCACATCTTCATGGTTTTCAAAAATATTCTTTGAAAAACCAGCAAGAGGTGAAGATTATTCCATCTTACAAGCACTTCTAAGTACTGATATGTTGATTCTTTTCGTGGCTACATTATGTGGACTTGGATCAAGCCTAACTGCAGTTGATAACATGGGTCAGATAGGTGGTTCTTTAGGATATCCAAAAACTACAGTGAAGTCCTTCTTGTCACTTCTCAGCATATGGAATTTTTTCGGGAGAATTTTCTCAGGATTCGTTTCTGAAAGCCTGCTAGTAAGATACAAATTTCCTCGGACCCTGATGATGACATTAGTCCTTTTTCTGTCATGCATTGGCCTACTTCTAATCGCTTTTCCATTCCCGGGTTCACTATATGTGGCATCTATAATTATCGGTTTCTCATTTGGTGCTCAATTGCCATTACTTTTCACAATAATTTCTGAGCTTTTCGGGTTAAAGTACTATTCAACATTGTTCAATTGTGGACAATTGGCTAGCCCTCTTGGGTCATACATTCTGAATGTTAAAGTTACTGGACCACTTTATGATAGAGAGGCATTGAAGGATCTTGAAAAAAGAGGTTTGACTAGAGCATCTGTGAAGGAGCTAACTTGTATTGGTAATCAATGTTATCAACTACCTTTCATTATCCTGGCTTGTGTCACATTTTTTGGAGCTATGGCCTCACTAATATTGGTTGCAAGAACTAGACAGTTTTACAAAGGAGACATATACAAGAAGTTTAAAGAACAACCAAATACACCTGATACAGAAATGGCTTCTTCAAACACTACTAATAAGACAATATGATGAGGGATTTTGATTATTAATTAATACAACTCATCTCATTATAATGTGATTCTGGTTTGAAAATATTTTTAATACTTATAGTATGTTATCATCAACTGTTTACCCTTGGTGTTTAATCTTTTAGACTCAAATATGATGCTTCTATTACAAATTTTAATGAGTATTTGTGGGTCAATGTATCTAACATAAATTGTGTATGTATCTATTCTCTCCGCATAAGTTTGAATTTTTTTGCCTTACTTCTGTCGACCTACAAGAATAAACTAAACATTTGTCTTGCTTCACAATCGACATATATATCGTGTACCAACTATACCTTTTGCAGCATAACTTATGTATTCTGAATTGAACATATACTTAAACCGTCATAAGTTTTTTAGGCATAACTTTTGATATATAACAGGGGTGGGTATATTATGATACGAAAAGGCATAACTGGTGTGTAGGCATAGAGGAACTTCTAGCAAGTGGAACAACCCGCCAAAAATAGTTCTCCCTTCGTCTAATTTCATGTGAATAGTTTGACTCGACATAATATTTAAGAAATAAAGAAAGATTTTTAAAATTTGCAGTCTAAAATAAATTATAAAAATTTGTGTAGCTGTGAATAATCACTAAAAATAAAATAAACATTTTATAGTTAATTGTTACTTAATATAAAAATGTATCATTTTTTATTAGGATTGACAAAAAAAAAAAAAACCAAATCACGTGAAAGAGGATACAATTAACCTAGTTTACAATCGGATAAACATTAATCTATCAAGGAGCTGAAATTTTGGAAGTTTTAATTACTCATACTCCAACTATGACCTCATAGATGGGGCTATGATTCTTCTTATCCATGAAATTAGCAAACAAAATCGTCATTCAAGGGAAGAAAAAGAAGACAAAAACTATCTCTATCCACGTACAGTATGCTATTTCGGACTAGTTTATTTAGGATATATATAAATTTATTCATGCACTACTCCTAGACCATAATTTTGAATTATGAATTTTACTTTTATCAAAATAAGATGATCCTATATATATATATATATATATATATATATATATATATATATATATACTGAATTCTAAAAGTGAAAAGATGTTACGTCAAAAATTCAAAAAAAAAAAATTCATAGAAAATTGTTACACATTTTTATCCTTTAAGAAAATAAATTAGTTACAGTTTTTTTTTCTCCATCAACTTATTTAAAATAATCTATATATCATATAGCATATGGTTACTTAATTTGTTACGTACTAATATTTTAATTATATAATGATATATATGAAGCCCAACAATTGTACTTTAATTTTTATTTATGGCATTATAATTATAATTGATTAAATTGATTAATTTAATTAAAATAAAAGACAAAACAGTATATGAAACTCTTCCAATTCAATGACTCTTTCAACTTTGAAATCAAAAATAAGTTTTATGTGTCATGATGTAATGTGTCTCATTATTGAAACTTCTTGAATGTTAAAATTATAAATAAAATTATGTGTCATGATTCAATATGTCTCATTATTGAATTTTGATAGGTGAAACAGTTAAACATCAATATAAATGCTAGTAAATTATAGCCACAATTTGTTTGTCCCTAGATCATCATATTATTTTCTTTTTATCATCTACAATTCTCTAGTCTTCTTCCTAAATAATAATATAACATATCATCAAGAAGCTAATTGAGTAGAAGAATAAATGACATTATTCTGAAGTTAAATTTCTTATAATACAATAGTTGAAGTTACAAATATAAGAGATGAAATCATGAAAAGAGAAGTTTTGTTACAAAAGAATAGTTAAACTTAGAAGTTTAGAAGAGATGACCTATTCCTTGATATCTTTTGTTTATTAGCTCATAACTTTAAGTTTAATTTCTTTTCCATTTTGGAGTCAAGGTATGGTTGTCCAAATTAAATTTGATATGCAATTCACATTTTTATGTAATTCTTGTATCATTTTGCATTGTTGTGGAAATTTATTGTTATTTCTCATTGTGTTATTGTTCTTGAAGTGCTATTTAATAGAGAAAACTTCTATTAATGTATGATGAGTTTGATAATATTTGAATAATTTATACAATATGCTTAGATATCCATATTGTAATTGTCTAAATTCATGTTAATTTAAATAAATATTACTAAATATTGTTATTTTGAACGAAAGATTTTTGTTATGTTACTTTATCGTCTGTCTAATATATTGTTGCGAATACATACATATATTGTTCATTTTCACCCGTTTTGTTTTATTTTTAATTTTTCTGCGATTTGTATGAATGAGATTAACATCATTTTCAAATAAAATGAGATTTCCATTTATATTTGTGTGACACTAAGCTTAATAATTTTCTTAAATATGAGCAATCTATATTGATGGTAGTTTTGTACAGTGTCAAAACTCAAATGGTTTGGTGTGATGACAATTTTATTTTTGGACATTTTGGTTGTAATATTATAGAATGGAGTAATTGAGCTTCATTTTGTTTAGATTTTTTATTTAGTAATATAAATCAGAAAGATTATTCAATATTCTACTTGATGTATATTGTTCAAGACTAACATTATAGAGTCTTTTGCAAATATTTTATATTTTTGCAATATATATTTTCATGGAAATTGTATTTTTCACTTCCAAATTGGAAGCACTTACAAATATATGTTGTACTAATATTCATGTCATTTTAGAAAGTTTGAAGTATTTGATAGAAATAATACACGTATAACACAGCATTACAATAAATTTGATTATTAGGGACAAATAATTTTGTCATTAATAAATCATATTTCGTCACTAAAAATCTTGTATGACGAAAATAATTTGTCACTTAGTCGTCACTAAATGTGTGTCTCTAAAAGTATCCAAAGACGATTTAGTGCTACGTCACTAAAAGTATTATATTAACTACAAAAAGAAAAATCGTCTCCAAATGCTTAAATATTTGTGACAAATTTCTTTATTGTAAAAAATATATTTTTTGTAGTTAATAGTATGCTTATTCACTAAAAAGGTTATTACTACCGATAAAATTATATCGTCACTAATTATTTTACTTCAATCAGTGACGAAATCAATTGTCTCTAAAGTTATATGTATTTCTTAGTTAAACAAAATCTAATTTCATTACTAATGACTATATTTTATATACAAAAAATTATTTTGTTCCTAAATGATTATATGATGATAATATATATATATATATATATATATATATATATATGTATGTATGTATGTATGTATGTATGTATGTATGTATGTATGCATGCATGCATATATAATGTATCCACTAAAGGTTATTACTACCGATAAAATTATATCGTCACTAATTATTTACTTCAAACGGTGACGAAATCAATTGTCTCTAATGTTATATGTATTTCTTAGTTAAACAAAATCTAATTTCATCACTAATGACTATATTTTATATACAAAAAATTATTTTGTTCTTAAATGTGTATATGATGATTATATATATATATATATATATATATATATATATATATATATATATATATA